TGATTATCAAGCAGGCCACAGACACAAAGAACAGAAAACATTTGCCAACTTTACATTCTATGGGCGCAGCCTCATGTTGAGATATGACTCATACCCATTCTCTGAGGAACTCGCCTGTCTCAATGTCTGCTGACAGGAGAAATGCTGAAAGACACAGTTGTTTAGGAACATCCTGTGCAAGTGATATTTCCAAATGCAAAACCTGAAGACAGTGCTAGATATCTGGTAGGTCAAGGGCATGGTTTAACATGCTGGTCAGTGGCTGGTTGTGCCAGCGTCTTGCTGTGTTCTGTAATCTGATTGCCAGGACCACATTGTGTTCTTTAGATCCTCCAAAAAGGAAAGAGCAAGATGATTCACAATCAAATTGAAGGGGATGCTCTTGAACATGCTCAAGATCACACCGGGGTGTGTGGGGGGAAACAATTCAAGTACATTTCTAAAGCGTATCTTGTGGTTTCGTTTTTACATCTCATAATAACTATAGTAAGAAAATCAGCATACAACAGTGTGTAGAATCAGTGAGTAGCCCAGAAAGCTAGGGATTCCTGGGTCATAATCACATATATTGCATGTCTGGTGCTCAGCTACAAAGGTTGCCAAGTATCTGGACCAACCAATACTGATAGGCAGCTGAGTGGCCTCCTGCAGATATGACCTGACCAGCAAAGAGGGTGTGTAGCAGATCTGAGAGATTTGAATCAGACAGTGACTCCAAGGTTCTACGATCAACTAATGCCCAAGACCAAAAAGATTCTAGACCCTGATGAAAATAACCTGGCTCATATGTACCGCAGTTCCCTCCTCCAGAAGAAGAAGAGTTGGATTTATTCCCCGTCTTTCACTGGGAGTCTCAAAGCGGCTTACAATCTCCTTCCCTTCCTCTCCCCATAGCAGACACCCTGTGAGGTAGACGGGGCTGAGGGAACTCTGAGAGAACTGCTCTTGAGAGAACAGCTCTGAGAGAACTGTGACTGACCCAAGGTCACCTAGCTGGCTGCATGTGGAGGAGTGGGGAATCAGTCCCGGTTCTCCAGATTAGAGTCTACCACTCTTAACCACTACACCAAACTGGCTCTCCAGAAAACAGTTCTGCTTCCACATCTGGTTGTCCACTGTGGTGGTGGTGGGGGGAAGGATTGCTGAACTAGATAGCCCTTTGCTGTCTCCAGCAGGGCTCTCATAGTTGGACTCAGGGGCAGGGCATCTGACTTGCGTGATAGTTCTTGGCTTCAAAACCTTGCATCTGCATTGAAAAGGATCAGGTAGTCGGTGATGAGAAACACCCTGACCTGAAAGCACCAAGAGCAGCTGCCAGTTAGGATGGCCAATACTGACCTTGATAGACCAATGGTTGGACACAGTATAAGGTAGCTTCACACAGGGCTATTTTGGGGCAGGAACGCACAGGAACGAAGTTCCAGCTGGCTTCAGAGTTGGCCACGCCCACTACAGCCAAAACCTCTGTGTACATGGCTACAAAGGGAAGGCCTGGAGAGTGACCCCCCCGGTGACTCCGAGGCAGGTGGGCCAGGGGGCCCCTGGAAGGATCGGGGAGGCACTTAAATGCCTTCCCTGTGTCTCCCTGTGCCTGTCCAAGGGCCGGCTTGCCCGGGCTCCTCACAGCCACGGGGCGCCCAGGCAAGCCAAGGGAAGGCATGGGGGTGTGGCCTAATATGCCAACGAGCTGTGCTGTCAGAGGTGTGGCTTAACATGCTAATGAGTTTCTGCTGTTGGGTGTGGCCTGTTATGCTAATGAGTTCCTGCTGGGCTTTTTCTACAAATAAAGCCCTGGCTTCACATATTCCCATACCTAGGGTCTCCATCTTGCTTCTTGGTCATGGTACTATGCCCTTAAGAGCAGACTGATTACATAGAAACTGAGCAGCTGATGCTTTCACTGGCATGGAGATGAATGGTGGGGAAAGCTTGAACAGCTGATTTTCTATTTATTAGGAGAGTCCAGTAGCACCTTAAAGACTAACAAAATTTGTGGTAGGGTGCCCTGCCCTGACCTGGATAGGCCAGGCAAGCCCAATCTCATCAGATCTCAGATGCTAAGCAGGGCTGACCCTGGCAAGTATTTGGATGGGAGACCTCCAAAGAATACCAGGGCCAGGAGGCAGAGGCAGGCTATCAAGCTACTTCTCTGAACATCCGCCATGACTTCCAGGCATGGGCACACAGAGAAAAAAAACAAAACAAAAATTCCCAAAAAATTGAGGTAGATGTAAAGTTTTGCGAGTCACTGCTCACTTCTTCAGATAGGATCCTGGTGTCAGCCTCCAGCTCTGTACAAAAGGAGAGTCGCGGAAGACAGTGTGGAAGTCCTAGCAAAGGACATCTCTGAAAGGAAACCTAACTCACGATGATCGAATGTTACAAGGTGACACATTTAACGATGTCATAAAGGCTCCTGGCAACCTTATTTGACCTGAATCATTTTCTGATGATAAGTAGTGAGAGATTTTTAAAAAATGCTTACAAGTCTCTTTGATGGTACCCACTATGCTACCGAAAATAAAAAATAAGGCAAGTATCTTGGTACATGGCATTTACAGAATCAGCAGATTTGATATTTCATCAAAACGGCCGATATCCAAATGTATTGGTAAAACTGGCCAAATCACTAGTAGTTTTTTATTTGCTATATTTATTTCCTTTCTGGACTTGCTGAGGGGTAGAACTGAATGAAATCCCTTAGTTATATGCAGAATCCTTTATGATGTCATAAATTAGTACCCAATATTTTCCAAGCTTTTAATTCCAGATGAGAAATTCTACTAGCTGATGTAAGCTCTTAAGAGAACAGCTCTGAGAGAACTGTAACTGACCCAAGGTCACCTAGCTGGCTGCATGTGGAGGAGTGGGGAATCAGTCCCGGTTCTCCAGATTAGAGTCTACCACTCTTAACCACTACACCAAACTGGCTCTCCAGCAAACAGTTCTGCTTCCACATCTGGTTGTCCACTGTGGTGGTGGGGGGGAAGGATGCTGAATTAGATAGCCCTTTGCTGTCTCCAGCATGCACACAGAAAGCAACATTAACACAAATAATTATTAAATAGCCTTTCATCCGCTGTTGAGTTTCCACAGCAAATATGCAGGATACAGTTTGTGACCCCTGGCTATGAATGGTATTAGTACAGAGAACTCCAATATGATATAGGGAAAAGGTGATGCAGTCTTCCATCAAGGGCCAGTTTGTCAGGAATGTCCTTGCTCAATAATGAGAGAAATCCAAATATGCACACTAGGTAGATCTCATATACAGTGGGAATGGGAAGGAGTGGGGAAAGTCCTCAAAGATCGCAGTTTGATATAACTTCTGTTGGCTTTCGTTGGCTTTTCTGAGTGCAAATGATCTTAATGATCAGAGGTCCATCAGTGGCTATTAGCCACAAGGCATAGATAGGAACTCTCAGTTTGGGGCAAGTGATGCACTGTATTCTTGGTGCTTGGAGGGCATACAGTGGGAGGGCTTCTAGTATTTTTGGCCACCTGGTATATTTGAGCTGTGGTGGCTCAAGTGGTTAAGACGCTGAACTGCAGGCTGTGGAAGGTCAGTAGTTCAGCAGTTCAAGACCCAGGTTGCTACATGACGGAGTGAGCTCCCGTCTCTAGTTCCAGCTCCTGACAACCTAGCAGTTCGAAAGCAAGAAATTGCAAGTAGATAAATAGGTACCACTTTGGTGGGAAGGTAACAGCGTTCCGTGCACCTTGGTGTTTAGTCATGCCGGCCACATGACCACGGAAACGTCTTCGGACAGCGCTGGCTCTCCGGCTTTGAAACGGAGATGAGCACCGCAACCCTAGAGTCGGACTCGACTGGCTTTCGAGCAAGGGAAACCTTTACCTTTACTATAGATAGGAACTCTCAGTTTGGGGCAAGTGATGCACTGTATTCTTGGTGCTTGGAGGGAGGGGGCAACAGTGGGAGGGCTTCTAGTATTTTTGGCCACCTGGTATTTTTGGCCACTGTGTTGAGCAAGGACATTCCTGAGAAACTGGACTGGATGGGCCATTGGCCTTATCCAACATTGGCTTCCCTTACGTTCTTATGTTCTTAATTGGCTGCAGACTTCTGATTAGCTAGTTGTTTTAGCCCTCTCAGAGCCCTGGGATTAGTGCTTAGGGGTTATCCCTGCTCTGTGATTTGAAAGCGTTATTTAACTCTGTGCTTGTTTTGAATAGAGAGAATTTGAGGATTTTCTGAAGAAGGCAGGACCCGACCTTGTTGTCGTCGACTTTTCAGCAAAATGGTGTGGGCCCTGTAAAATGATTCGTCCTTTTGTTTACGTAAGTCCAAACTTTGCCATCCTTGGCCCTTCCAAAATGTGCAGAGATAATGCAAATCCATCCCCATAGCGGCTATGCAGAATAACGCTGCCCCCCTCTCCCTCCCAGGCCATCCCAGCTCCAAGCATTTCCCTTTTTCCTGAAGACCTTGTCTCAATCTCCAAGCCCTCATCCCCAACCAAAACAAAGTCTAAACAGGTCGTTTCTACAGATACAGCTGTCCTCCTTAGTTGAATTTCTCCCCAAATCTGGATTTACTAATTACCTGGCCTTGTTTCCAAACTGGAAATGATGCTTTCCAAATTCTCCATTGCTCCATTTTCTCACAGAGCCCTGTGCTTGGGCAGTGTGCCGCAGTTATCTGCTCCTTCCATTCACAAGCATCTGTTCCCTGTCATCAGTGTGCACTTGCACATTAATAAAACACTACTTGCAAAACGATATTGATGTGACATAGGTGTCTCAGGATTCTGCTTGTCTCACCTCTGATTCTGATGTCTCACCGATGTGCAGGTGCATATGCAGGCATCCGTCAAAAACAGGGCAGTATTTGATTGATGCACATGTGCCCCGTGATAATGCATAGGGAGATGGTGATGGGGATGTAGATGCACATGTGCCCCGTGATAATGCATAGGGTGGGGATGCGGGTGAATGGGAAGCACTGGAAGATTTAGCAAACGGAACAAAACACTAATCCATAATTAATGTTATAAATTCTACAAGTTAAACCAAAATTAAGGAATGGAATGCAGAAAGCAATTATGGAACAATAGAAGAATGCAGCTGGGAAGATCTGAAAGAGGTAGGTGTTTTGAGTGATTTTGCTCATATTCATGTCTCTTCCTCTATCCCACTCCAGGTTGCACGTTTCTATCCTTGGTCTAAACTTACATTGTAAGCTTCTTGCGACAGAGACCTTTTTGTAGTTATTCTGTAAAGACCCACGTATGCTAATAGTGATATACGTAAAATAATAACAATATCAGCTGTTCTCATTTCAGTTAATGGAAATACTTTAAATCCATGCAGGGCAGGTCAGATTTGTCCACAGATAAGTCTGCAAAGCAGACTCCTGGAATGTGTGACTGGCAAAGAGATCATCACCATGCATAACTTTACCAGTCACTTCAACAGCATGGAGAGAAATGCTGTCCCTTCCAAACTTCTCCCTACTTATTTGATTTTCATCCCACTATTCTCCATAGAGCTCAGGACAACACCGCTCCTCGTTTCATGTTCACAACAACCCTGTGGGATAGGTTAGGCTACAGAAAAAATGACTATACCTAAGATACTCTGAGCTTCATGACTGAGTGGGTGGATTTGAACCTGAATCTTCTTATCTATAGTCAGACATTCTAATCACACTACACTACACTGGCCAGTGCTGTGTAAGGCACAGGAACATACTCTGGGGGGTGGGGGCAGAGTTGGTATTTCTGTATGCTAGCAAGAAGCTCTCTTCCAAAGCAAACAAGATTCTGTGCAAGTTTAGAAAAGTTCAAAAAACAAACTAGGCTTACCAGGTTCCTGGTTGTGGTGGGGGAGCCCCCACTTTTGTGGGCTCCAGGCCACCACAGGCCAGCTGGCCGACGGGGGAAACCATATCCCAAAACAGATATACCTGCGTGATGTCGGCAACACACTGGCATCACTTCTGGAAATGATGTCATTGTGACAGCAATGTCGGGTGCAACGCTCTACTTTTGGGGCAAAACTTTATGGCTTGTAGCCATTGTTACCATAGAGTTTTGCCCTGAAAGTAAAGTGTTGCCCCAATGTCACCAGCAGAAACAAGAAGGGGAAAAAACTGAACCTAACAATAAACTCCAGAACCAAACAAAGGTTAGTGAAAAGGAGGGCCAATATTAAAACCTTTCCATAAAAAAGGTACATGTATTTATTGATAATAACAAATTTTAAAACATATATAGGGGCCCAATTACAACCAATGTATATAAAACATAACAATATCAAGGGCTTAAAAAGTTGACCTTACGCGTTTCGGCCAAATAGGCCTTCCTCAGAGATCATACATATGTGGCAAGATGGTTAATAATTATATTCACATAAACACAATCAGAAATATATACAAAGTATAGATTCAATAAGGACCATAAAGTAAATCGTTCAGAAGTAAAATCACCAGGCACAGAATAAATATGCACATAAGACCTTTAAAGTGCAGTCACTAGCCCAGTGATTATAAAATAAACTTATGGTCCAAAAATTCCCTTCTTTGATTGTGTTCCCACAGTATTCACAAGTAAAAACCAATGTCACCAACACAATGACATCACTTCCAGAAGGGACATCAGCACATTGCTGACGTCGCTGTCCACCCCCGGAATGTCTCCTAAATCCCCCCACCAGCAGGAGAAAGGCACCTGGCAATCCTACAAGAAACAGGAAATGAACCAATTAGGATTACCTTTAAAGTCAAACCATAGGCCAAAAACACAGAGATGGGGAACAATGCATCTGCTTAATTCGTGTCTGGAAATGCAGCTGCTTAAAGATGCAGGGCCCCTGCCAGAGCAAATACAGGGGCCGTGCCTAGTCTCAGCTCTGTCCAAATTTGTCCACTCTGCTTGCTCTCAGTGGCATATTCTGGCAGGAAATGAGTAGGACTGATTGCTTCAGGCTCTCAAGGGCTAATGAAGACCCACAATAAAGACATCTGATACTGTAAAACAGCCAAACTGCTACCGAGATGGAGAGCATTGCTAATGTAACTTCTCCCCCAGAATATGCCAAAGAATGCAAGAGTGAGCTTTTAGCAAAGCACTTAAAGTGAGAGCTTTGGTTTTTTTTAATGAATGGAAGACGTTTGGCTGATTTGGCTGAAAGATTTAAAAGATGGCAATAAGAGTATACTCGTTCATAATGCAAACAAAGTGTTGCTCATCTGCCCTTTCCGGGCTGTAATCAGAGGAAAACAAACAGCTTTGCCTGCTCTGATTCATGATTCACTGGTGCATAATTTCCATTTCTGCTGAAGGCTGCTGGAATTCATTGCAAACACCAACATTCTAGTGGAAATATTGTGGGTGGAATGACATGTTCACATGTGACCCAGGACCACCATTGAAAACAATATCCTTCTGTCTAGTCCCCCCCCCCGCCCCTGCAAATCCAGAGGATCACCTTCCCCATGTAATGATGTCATCACATGGACGAGCTCCCCACCAGTAGCCAGCCACCAATGTGATGATGTCATGGCAAGGGGTCATTATTCTGCATCATATGGGGAAGGTGAGGAAAACTTGATATGGGGATGCTGCTTTCTGTAGCAGCCCCTGTTATGCATATCAAGTTGATTGGGCAACCTGGGTTCAGTTCCAGGGGATCAGCATGACACTGGGAAGCCAGTGTGGCAAGTCACTCTCTCATAAGAACATAAGAGAGCCCTGCTGGATCAGACCACTGGTCCATCTACTGCAGCATCCTGTCTCTCACAGTGGCCAACCAGTTCCTCTGGAGGGCCAACGATAGGCGTAGAGGCTGAGGCCTTCCCGTGGTGTCTCCTCCCGGCTCTGGGATTCAGAAGGTGGAGGTTCCCTTTAGTCACCATGGCTAGCAGCCACTGATAGACCTATCCTCCATAAATCTGTCCTTTTAAAGATATCTATGCTTGTGGCCATCACTACATCTTCTGGCAGGGAATTCCACATTTTAATCACTTGCTTTGTAAAGAAGTATTTCCTGTTGTCCACCCTGAATTGACTTCCCATCAGCTTCATTGGATGCCCTTGAGTTCTAGGGGGGGGGGGTTTTGACCAAGAGAAAAAATTATATTTGTCAACTCTCTCCACCCCGTGCATAGTTTTATAAACCTCTGTCATGTCCCCCTTAGTCCTCTCTTTTCTAACCTGAAAAGTCCCAGACTCTTCACCCTTTCCTCGTAGGGAAGGTGCCCCAACCCCTTATCACCTTGTTGCCATCCTCTTTGCAATGTCCTTTTGGAGATCAGCGAGCAGAGCTGCACACAGTGCTCCAGTTGAGGAATTCCCTCATCCTCAGTTCTCCATCTATAAAATATCATTAATAGTGGTTTATGTCACAAACAGGCAAAATCTCTTCTGCTGGAGTTATTCGAACTAAAAGTGGCCTGGCCTCCTTTGCTAGCCTCTGTTTACATTTGTTAACACTCTCCCCTAGTCATTGTGCCTTTGAGAGAGGTTACTATGAGCTTTGATTCATTGTTCTTAGGTGGGTTCCATCCTATCAACATGCACTGTTGGAGATTTGGAGGTGGAGCCTGAGGAGAGCAGGGTTTTAGGGGTGGAGCCTGAGGAGAGCAGGGTTTGGGGAGGGGAGGGACCTCAGCAGACAATGCTATAGAGCATGTATGTCCAACAGGTAGATCGCGATCTACCAGTAGATCGCAGAGGGGTCAGAGGTAGCTCACCAGCCCCACTTGGTCTCCTGGATTGCTGGACAGGTGTTTGGGGTTTTTTGATGATTGTTTGGTGGTATTTGATTATTGGTGCCAGTATGATGAATTCTTATTTTTACTTAAATGACAGAAGGTGCATTATAAATGGGGGGCGGGGCGGTGGAACCCAACTTTAGTGGGTTAAAATCTAATTTGAATCAAATTTGAAACTAATTTGAAACTTTATTTTCATGGTGGTAGATCACCAGCACTTTTGGCCGGAAAAAATAGATCACTACCTGTTCGAAGTTGGACATGCCTGCTATAGAGTCCACCTCCCAAAGCAGATGTTTTCTCCAGGTGAACTGATCTCTGTCACCTGGAGGTCAGTTGTAATCCCAGGAGATCTCCAGCCGCCACCTGGAGGTTGTCTACCCTAGGACTTAACTGGTCTCAGGCAAAGATAGCCAAATCAACAAATGCCTTTTGAAGATGCTTCCATCATTATAGTGAACCAAACAGTGTCTGTTGGCATCTCTCTGTCTCTCTCTCACACACACATCCATCCCTTACTCACTGTTGTTCTAATTGGCTCCCTGTGGATAGCAGCCACTGCAGCTGTTCTCTTTTGTTGCTCAGCAACAGTTTTAGCCAGGCAAAGGCTAATGAAAGGCTTGCATTAAAATCTGATTGCATAAAAAGAGCAACTTTCAGGGACCGTATTCCTCCATCTAAGAACTAAACCGTACCCTTCTTGTTAAACCTATTTAAATAGCAGGTGTACAGAACCCCCGTTTGGATCCTGGCTGCAGTGCAGGGCTACATGGACTATTCAGCCTCTCCCCTCTTTCCCACATATAAATAGGTTCCCCCCCCCCCGCCCGTGCACTGATAGGGATGACATATATTTACCCATACACTTCCTGACAAATAGTCAGGCAACAAATAGTGCTGCCAGTGGACTTGACTTGCAATGTGAAAAGGATATGGAATTTATTTATTTATTTTGAGGTTTTTATTCCGCTCTCCCCAAAGCAGGCTCAGGGCAGTTCCAAAAGCAGGAGATCTCCAGGCCCCACCTGGTGGCTGGCAACTCTACATGTAGATGTTAAACAACATTGGCGCTTCTTCCAGGATATGGAAGAGGACGGTTAAACTCTTTTTCTCACTCCAATTGCACATACCTAGCTGCTATTTGTAGATATTGGAGATCTTATCATGGATCTCCAACGTCTCCCCTATTGTGACCTTCAGTTCAGTTTTAGGTCGCATAATTGTGCAAAGAAACAAATCTATCAGAAGCAAAGGAAGGGAGGGCTTATGTACTGCTAACATTCGCCATTGTGTGAAAACATACCCAAGATTCTGGACCTATGGAACAATTTCTTAGGGCAGTTGTTTGTAAACTATCTTCAGAAAACCTTTGGCCCCTCAGTAGAAAAGAGCAAGAGTCCAGTAGCGCCTTAAAAACTAGCAACATTTGTGGAAGGGTATGAGCACTCGTGAATCACTGTACACTTCTTCAGAGTGAGCCTCTCCCTCCATGTCCTTTCCTGCATATAAATAGGTCTCCCCATATTGCACTTCTTCAGAAGTGAGCGGTGTAGGGTTGCCAGACTCCCAATCAGGGCGGGGGTTCCCCTGATTTTACCATAAGCCTGGAAGTGACCATTGCATCGGTCATCGCAGCCACGTCCTGGGGGGAGAGTTAGGGGGCCAATTGCCTGATCTGCTGAAGGTAGAAAAAGGCAACTGCGGTGACCTGGGCCTCCATAGAAAGTGAGGCATCCAAGATCACCCCTAGGCTCCTCACCTTCTGGGCTGGCGCAAGTGGCGCACCATCCAGGGTGGGCAGCCCGATCCCTGTCCTAACTTCCCCCTGTCTCAGGTATAGGACCTCCGTCTTCGTTGGATTGAGTTTCAACCGGCTCTGCTGCAACCAACCAGCCAAGGCCTCCAATGCTCTAGTCAGAGTCTCTGGGGTGGAGTCCAGGCAGCTGTGCAATAACAGATAGAGCTGGGTGTCATATTGGTGACATCCCAACCCAAACCCTCAGACCAAGTGGGCGAGGGGGCGCGTGTAGATAGGGTTGCCAGCTCTGGTTTGGAAAATACCTGGGAGTGGAGCCAGGAGAGGGCGGGGTTTGGGGAGGGCAGGGGAGGGTCCTCAGCATGGTACAAATCAAAGCAGCCATTTTCTCCAGGGGAGCTGATCTCTGTCAGCTGGAGATCAGTTCCAAAAGCAGGAGATCTCCAGGCCCCACCTGGTGGCTGGCAACTCTACATGTAGATGTTAAACAACATTGGCGCTTCTTCCAGGATATGGAAGAGGAGGGTTAAACTCTTTTTCTCACTCAAATTGCACATACCTAGCTGCTATTTGTAGATATTGGAGATCTTATCATGGATCTCCAACGTCTCCCCTATTGTGACCTTCAGTTCAGTTTTAGGTCGCATAATTGTGCAAAGAAACAAATCTATCAGAAGCAAAGGAAGGGAGGGCTTATGTACTGCTAACATTCGCCATTGTGTGAAAACATACCCAAGATTCTGGACCTATGGAACAATTTCTTAGGGCAGTTGTTTGTAAACTATCTTCAGAAAACCTTTGGCCCCTCAGAAGAAAAGAGCAAGAGTCCAGTAGCGCCTTAAAAACTAGCAACATTTGTGGAAGGGTATGAGCACTCGTGAATCACTGTACACTTCTTCAGAGTGAGCCTCTCCCTCCATGTCCTTTCCTGCATATAAATAGGTCTCCCCATATTGCACTTCTTCAGAAGTGAGCGGTGTAGGGTTGCCAGACTCCCAATCAGGGCGGGGGTTCCCCTGATTTTACCATAGAGTTTTGCTGGAAAACTGGAGTGTCGCCCCCGACGTCATCAACATGCCTACATCACTTCCAGGTAGTGTAGGCATACTGCACGACATCACTTCCTGCTCCCAGAACATCCCCCATCCTCTCCACTGGTGTTTCCGACAGACCTGGCGACTCTATACGTTACTGAAGAACCACAGGGTTCATTGGAATGCTATTTGAAAACTGCTTTAAAGTACAGAATCTCTGTTTCTTATATCCTTTGTTATCGCCAGGAGAAGCCTGAAAACTGCTTCAAAGGCTGCATCTGGTCTGCAGGCAGATAGGTGACCATCCCTGCCCTAGTTAATGTACACCTGTCCCTCAGAAACCTTCATGTGCTGTGGGTAATCACACCTGAATACTTCGGTCCTGAGTATTTTAAAGGCCAAACCATGTATGAATATATTACTTTAAAATATTTATAAACTCATCTAACCAACCAAGTACTTGACCTTGCAATTCAGTATCTAATTTGTCTAGCCTTTTCTCAACTCTTTACCAGTAGTTTCCTTCCCAAATACTGGTGACAAAATTTTATACAACAAATAAGAACGTGGCAGTTTTAAAGGGGGGGAAATCACCAGGGGATAATCCATCACTATCAAAGGCGCTTGACAGAAAGGCCTAGAAAGTAGAAAAGGACTACCAGCCATTCATGTCAATGCATAAACTCATTCAGTTTTGTTCTTTTAGGAATTTGCTGTTCGGTATGAAAATGTACAGTTCTGCATTGTTGATGTGGATGCGGCAGAGGTAAGCTACTACAATCAGAAGGTAGATTATTCTACTGGTCTGGTTATTGGGTTATGGTCTGAAGGTGCCTGATGTATCAGCCTTGCTGAAGCTAAGCAGATCGTTGTCTGAATGGGAGATCCCCTGGGAACCTGTGTATATTATCTTGAGATCCATACTGGAAGAAAGGTGGGATATAAATCTATGCTCAAATGTTAACCAAACATAGCTCTTGCTTCATAAGCACTGCTGTTCAGTTCTTCTAGTAGTTCTACATTCTGTTGTCAGAAGCAGCCAGACCAAGTTGTCTCTCAGCTGTCAAGCAAAGCATGAAGTTGATGGACATTTCCTATTACTTGACCCTATCATGTGGTATTCAGATGACCCAGCGATTCTATTTGTGCCATTATCAAATAGCTATCATGGCTAACAGTCATTGACAGACATATGTCATCTAAACATTTTCTGCTGATTTTAAACCTATCTAAGATTGTCATAATTGCCATATCTTGTGGCAGAGACCACAAATTAATTATGTTGTGTTTTATCGTTGTCACAATAGGAATATAAGATTTTCTCAAGTCTTACATATTTAGCATACAAGTTAATAGCCTGTATTCAATCCATACATTAGAAAAAACCTTAACTATAACTGTGTATTCTTTTCCTTCATTTGTTCTTAATGTGTGGATTAGATGAGTTGTTTGCTCAGTGTAATGGTTCTGAATATATAGTCTTGCATTTTAATAAAATATATTTTAAAAAATGTAGAGAAAACCTAAGTGCCCTTAAACTTTATTAAAAGGCTAAACATTTTCTGCTGATTTTAAACCTAAGATTGTCATCATTGCCATATCTTGTGTCAGAGACCACAAATTAATTATGTTGTGTTTTATCGTTGTCACAATAGGAATATAAGATTTTCTCAAGTCTTACATATTTAGCATACAAGTTAATAGCCTGTATTCAATCCATACATTAGAAAAAACCTTAACTATAACTGTGTATTCTTTTCCTTCATTTGTTCTTAATGTGTGGATTAGATGAGTTGTTTGCTCAGTGTAATGGTTCTGAATATATAGTCTTGCATTTTAATAAAATATATTTTAAAAAATGTAGAGAAAACCTAAGTGCCCTTAAACTTTATTAAAAGGTGGCTAGGGTTGGCAGTTTCAGAATGGGAAATTCCCAGAGATTTTTGGGTGGAGTCTGAGGAGAGCAGGATTTGGGGAGGGGAGAAGCCTCAGCCAGCTATTAAGCCATAGATTCCACCCTCCAAAGCAGCCATTTTCTCCACAGAGACAGATCTCTGTAGTCTGGAGTTCAGGTGTAATTCTGGAAGATCTTTGGGTCCCACCTGGAGGCTGGCAACCTAGAGAGGGAAGTGCTTTCCACTGATTCCTCTCTTTCATTGCAATCCACTGAGTAGCCCAAAATGTTGTTCCTGAAGGTCAGTGGCTTGGGGACGGTGTGGGATGGAGAACTGGCAGGAATTGCTGCTTAAGAAAATGTAACTGCCCTTAAATGTTGGGGATGCCGTTGAATACAGCCACTATCTCTTATGGAGAGGGCAATATATAGGAATAGACTCATAATAGGTGATGGCTGTCGGTGTAGTCTTTGTGGAAGTCTTCAATTTTTGACACCATACAGGCATCGATTTGCAAACATCAGGCATGTTTTTCATATGAGACTCTTCTCTGCCAAAAAAAAATCATGTTTGGAATATATATGCCACCCACTAAGATACTTATTTTCATTTACACAATGTCTTACATGTCTTTCTAAATGTCAGTCTTATGGATTAAGGTTGAACATGTTGAGTACGATAGAGGGGGCATGATTGCAGTCTTCAAGTATTTGAAGGGCTGTCATGTAGAAGATGGAGAGGATCTATTCTCTCTAGCTCTGGATTGCAAGACTAGATCTAATGGGTGGAAATGACAAGGGAGTCATTACTGGCTAAATATCAGGAGAAACTTCCTAACTGTAAGAGTGGTTGAGCAGTGGAACAGACTGCCTCAGGAGGTGGTGGATGCTCCTTTGCTGGACGTTTTCAAGCGGAGGCTGGACAATCATCTTTCGGGTATGTTGTAGGGCTATCTTTCGGCTATGCTCCTGCAGAGTGCAGGCAGTTGGACTAGATGACCTGCAAGGTCCCTTCCAACTCTAACATTCTATGATTCTATGATTCTTCAGTGCTGAATTATATTCATGTTTGTATTCAAACAAACCTATTTCAAACTAAGTGTTCTTGAAAACACAATTTGTGACACCCATAGATTCCACCCTCCAAATTCTGCTTATAGGGTACACTATAATTTTTAGGGGAAAGTATGTATGCATGTATCATTTTGTGTGTGTGTGCACTTTTCAGCTTATCACTTGATCTCTCTTGCCTAGGATGTGGCTAACTATTGCAGTATCATCGCCATGCCAACATTTCAGCTGTACAAGAAAGAACAGAAGGTATTTGTGATCTAGAACACAACCTGGTGTTCTATATTCTATCAGGATCTGACCATAATCTTTGAATCTTGGTGCTCTTCCACGGCACTGGAAGGTTCTGCACTCTCTCTGTTTGTCCTGGTTCTGACCCCTGACTCAACTGAGGGTAGAAAGTATTTTTTTTTTAAGTTAGCAATCCTAACTTCAATGCATGGATGTAGTTGGCCTCACCAACCAATCTGTTTCCTGATCACACTGACATAGCTCTTCCTCAGTCTAGCAAGCCACTTCGCTAAAAGTAATAAGCTTGGGAATGCTTGCTACACAGCACTCTGGAAATGTATCTGTATAATTTTCATTTGCCCTGACCTGGATGGCACAGACTGGCCGAATCTTGTTAGATGTCAGAAGCTAAGCAGGCTCAGCCTTGGTTAGTATTCGGATGGGAGACCACCAAGGAAGTCCAGGGTTGCTACTCAGAGGCAAGCCAATGGCAAGCCTCCTCTGAATGCGTCTTGCCATCAATGGGACTTAAACTGCGTTTCTGTGGGGCTGCTGTCTGCTGATAGCAGAAAGGTCTATAGCAGGGGTGTCAAACATAAGGCCCAGGGGCCAGAACCATCCCATCCAGGGCTCTTATGCAGCCCGCGAGCAACTAGTGCAAGGGAGGGAGTCTAGGGGGAGTGGGTGGAGCCACCCCATTGCGGCTTCAGCAAGCAGAACAACCTTGTCTGCAGCAGTCGAGCATCATGGGAGCCTCTGCCCAGTGCTCCACTGCTGCCTCTCCAGTCCACCTATGTGGGTTTCCCTTTGCACCCCCCTCCCAGCTGATGGGGCCTTGCAGTGAGGATACACCGATTCAGAGCTTACCAGCTGCTGTCCTTCATACAGTTTCTGTCTTTGGTACCTGGCACTACGTTGTATGGCACACATGGCCCAGCCCAACAAAGTGACATTTATGTTAGATCCAGCCCTTGTAACAAATGAGTGTGACACCTCTGGTCTATAGGCTTGCAGCGATTTGAACTGAGGGAGAGCAGGTATGATGGACAGGTATTAGCCATCACCTATGCTGTCACCAATATTCCTCTCACACAATCCCTGAAGGAATTGGTAACTGTTTTTAAATGTTTCTGGATATTTGTTTGTGAAAATATGGAGAATGAACACACAGATGCCCATAAGCTATGTGACAAATTAGAAATAATGTGGCTATTTTGAGGAAAATGCCAGCTGTTCCCCTAAATCACTGAGAATCCTGAACTGTGTATATATTGTATTTTGGTTTCGGAACGTATTTCTTCTTTGTAGTTTAAATATGACCTGTCCCTTCCAATGTATTTCATTCCATTGTTTTCATTGTTAGATTTTTGAAATAACCGGTGCAGATGCAAAAAAACTAGAGAAGAAGATTAGAGAGCTGATGTGATCCTTGAAGAAAGCCCCCCCCCCATTGTACACAAAGCTGGTAAAATAAAATGTCCATCAATCAGTATGATCTTCTATACTGGGATTAAATACTTGTATGATGCTCAAGCATTGCATAAAGCATTTGGCCTTCCTTGGGCAGAAAAGATCTTTGCTACCGTGGTGCAAGCCCTAAAGGTTTCCCTTGCTCGAAAGCTAGTCAAATCCGACTCTAGGGGGCAGTGCTCATCTCTGTTTCCAAGCCAAAGAGCTAGCACTGTCCAAAGACATTTCTGTGGTTATGTGGCCGGCCATGACTAAACACTGAGGTGCACGGAACACTGTTAGTTTCCCACTGTGGTACCTACTTATCTGCTTTCAATTTCTTGCTTTCTAACTGCTAGGTTGGCAGGAGAAATGGGTGGCAACCCAAAGGAAGGCCAAAATGATGAAACTTCCTCTCCAGGGATATCTGTCTGTTCCCTTTTATCACCATCTTCCACCAGCAAGTGGAGACTTTTTTGTTTGGGGAGGGGAGGGACTTCAGTGGGGTATAATGCCACAGAGTCCACCTTCCAAAGTGGCCATTTTCTCCAGGTGAACTGATCTGGAGGGCAGTTGTAATCCCAGGAGATCTCCAGTAGGGATGGGCATGAACTTGAAAATAGGAAGGATTCCTGTTTAACCAGCTTACATAGGTGGCACGTGAACCCGGAAGTGAGTGCAGGCAACTGTAGGCATCACCACAGTCACCCCTGTATGCTCACTTCTGGGTTCACGCACTGCCTACAAAAGCCGGTTAAACGGGAACCCTTCCTATTTCCCCAGTTCATCCCTTGCATCCCTAATTTCCAGCCACAACATGGACGTTGGCAACCCTAGCTGTCTGTGAGGCTGCCCTTAAAAACTGTCCAAAAACTTCACTTGGTACAGAATGCTGCAGCCAGGGTGTTTACTGGAGTTAGTTAATAGGGACCAGGGCTACTTTCCGGCTGGCTCCCGAGTTGGCCACGCCCAGCAGGAACTCATTAGCATAGTAGGCCACACCCAACAGCAGAAACTCATTAGGATTAGTTACATTAGGGGTGTGTGGCCTAACATGCAAAGGGTTCCTGCTACAAAAAAAGCCCTGGGTTTTGACAACAAACAATGTAAACAGCATAAGAAGCAAAAGGTGGGTGTGGCTGGATGGTAACGTAGGGTGTGGCCTAATATGCTAATGAGCTGCTCTGTCAGTGGTGTGGCCTAATATGCTAATGCGTTCCTGCTGTTGGGTGTGGCCTATTATGCTAATGAGTTCCTGCTGGGCTTTTTCTACAAAAAAAGCCCTGATAGGGACTATATCACTTCAGCCTTAGTTTATTTCTGCTGGTTCACAGTTTATTTCTGGGACCAATTCAAGGTGCGGGTGTTGGCCTTTAAAGCTCTATACCAGGTGGGGAACAGCATACATGAACAACTACCAACTCCTAGACAAACCTATCCAACCACTGTGCTTACTGGAGACCCTGCTCTGGGTGCCCTGCCTTCTGAGTTTGGATGGGTGGCAACCCAAAGGAAGGCCTTCTTGGTCATGGCACCAAAATGATGGAACTTCCTCTCCAGGGATATCTGTCTGGTCCCTTTTATCACCATCTTCCACCAGCAGGTGGAGACTTTTTTAGCTGGTAAAATAAAATGTCCATCAATCAGTATGATCTTCTATACTGGGATTAAATACTTGTATGATGCTCAAGCATTGCATAAAGCATTTGGCCTTCCTTGGGCAGAAAAGATCTTTGCTACCGTGGTGCAAGCCCTAAAGGTTTCCCTTGCTCGAAAGCTAGTCAAATCCGACTCTAGGGGGCAGTGCTCATCTCTGTTTCCAAGCCAAAGAGCTAGCACTGTCCAAAGACATTTCTGTGGTTATGTGGCCGGCCATGACTAAACACTGAGGTGCACGGAACACTGTTAGTTTCCCACTGTGGTACCTACTTATCTGCTTTCAATTTCTTGCTTTCTAACTGCTAGGTTGGCAGGAGAAATGGGTGGCAACCCAAAGGAAGGCCAAAATGATGAAACTTCCTCTCCAGGGATATCTGTCTGTTCCCTTTTATCACCATCTTCCACCAGCAAGTGGAGACTTTTTTGTCTTGTTTGGCATTCTCTCAGTGACCTCTCTTTCCTGCCTGATGCTGTAGGTGCTGCCTCTTTTAAAAATATGTATTTTAGTTTTGGTTTTACTTGGGTCTATGATCTGTTTTATAATGCTCTGTTTTGTTAGCCACTTGGTTGCTTGGCTTGGGCAGAAAGGCAGGATATGAATTTTGAAAAGGAATAATAAAATAAAGATGGGTCAAAGCCGCTTACAGTCTGATATTTGATCGCTCTAATACTAGTAAGGTGAGAAGTGAGAGGCCAGGATAATATCTGGTGAACGGGAGAAAATGCAGTTTATGTTAACGTGGACTCTGTTTTATTTTTGGAAGAGGACTAGAAAGTGAAATACGTCCCTGTAAACTGGGACTGTTTCCAAATGACCAGAATGATCCTAGCCTTTTTGCCCTTTTCCTGTTCATAAGTAACTGTCCTAGTTCCCCTGAAAACCATTTACCGTTTAATCACCATGTAAGAGATGACGCTTGGGAAAAACTGGAGACATCTATGAATGCTTAGAGAACTGTCAGGATCTGGTAAACCTGCCTTCTTAATTAATCCGTACACTTTTCTGTGTGAAATTTAGTAACTGTCAGGGTGTCACAGGGACATGTGTTAGAGTACAGAGACATGTTTTAATGTATTAATATTTTAAATCAATTGGTTAATACACCAATGACTTCGAAATAGATTAACAAATTACCAAAACTTTGATGAGATAGGTGCCTTTTTGAAGATATTGAAGTAAGTGACAGTTTTTAAGCAGAGTTTTGGTCAACATATGCTGATAATGAAGTGGTAGCAATGAGGAGAGACAAGCTCAACTGATGGATTGTACCACTTCAGATTTCAGGAGGGGTTATATCTTTTGGAAGTTCCCTTAGATTAATATTTCCCTCTGTAGAAAACTAGCACAGCATAAAAGGGGCTAGGTATGAACCTTTCTCCTTCAGAAACTTTTGTGTGGGGGGGGTTATTTGCAAGGAGTTTTTCAGAAGGGGGCATGACTCCCACCCATTCTATCTGAAATGGTACAGCCCATCCTTGCACCTCATGATTCTATTACCTTATTCTGCTGCACAGCCACAGTAAGGTGACCCCCCCACACAAAAAATAATTTGTATTCATTTTATGTTGGTCCTGATTACCCTATTTGTTTTTGTTTTTCTCATTATTTCCCCCATTTGTTTTTATTTTTTTTCTTTCATTTTGTTTCAGCAGGCAGTACATTTCCAGCTTGTAACTTTTTTTTCCATCTGGCTAAAGTTATTACAGATTTTACTACTATCCCATTAGACCTGGAGTGCTAGATATCAGGCATCTAGGAAGAAGTGGTCCCCATTTTACAAGTAGTTGAAGACAGAGCACATTTCCAGCTCTTTTTTTTTGGGGGGGGGGGGGTTGTTTTTTCGTGGAAGCGCTCGTGGAAGTCATGGTGACTTCTGGTGACTGACCCCTTCTGGGAGCCTGGTTGCTGA